CTTGTCACCTATGATCTGGAAGTAAGAGACTGGGAGACAGGATAACTTCAGTGAAGAAAAATCAGTTCGTCCTACGTGCTTTTAATGGTATTGCGCCATGAACAATCACTGAGCCTGAACAAAGAAAAACAAACCAACTCAGCAGCTGAGGAAGAGATAGTTGCAGTGTTGGATTCTCATAAACCCAAGTTGTCAAATATCAAACACTGGGAATGAGACTCAAGCAAGTCAGCCTACCCTTCTAAGCCTCCAACCCCATAGCGTCTTTCCAACTTTCTTGGCTTTTACTATTAGTTTTTACTACTGTTGACTATTACCTGTGAATTAATCTGACTTGCTTCCATTGTTGCGAATTTTGGTGGGTGAGGGCGCTAGCCCTGTAATTGTTTTGCGAGCCATCAGATTGCCTGCCTCTTTAAAGCACAGCAGGCCATTTCGACTTGTCAACCACACTAGTTGACATAACAGTTAATGCGGACCTTTTTCACAAACCCGGCCCCATTCTCACCACATGTAATTAGGCTCCAGGGCGTAGACCGACCGCGCGACAGCCAGCCTGCGTGACCCCAACGCTGCGACGTCGAGCCTCAATAACGGTTCTGTCTACGATTCACCGGGACCAGTACTGCGTACACGCGCATGCAACTCGAATGTACAGGGAGGGACTGTTCGTCACAAAAGCAGAATTGAAGGAAACTCCAGATTTAAGAACGAGGCGTGTGTGCGCGCTAGGGCGCGCGTATATCGCCTGCATCCGGGCTCTAATACGGGGTTTCGACAAAGGCCTAACCGCTCGGCCAGATGCTGCGTTAGTGCGAGGCCAGTGAATCTATGGTTAGCGTAATGTGGTGGATTAGTGGGTGAATGCAGCATTTGCCCGTTTCCTTCCAACCAAGCAAAGAGGCAGCACAGATTTCCTGATTAGTGACAGCGCCCCCCGGCACATCGAAACCTGAATCCCCAGATTTACCTGATCTGTGGAAATGAGAAGAAGCATCATCCTAAGTAGCCCCTAGCGTGTTATAGCTACCCGGCGGGCCGATCCGGTACACGGGCCTTCGACACTTACTAAGAAGCATGTTTAGTGTCATAACCACCAAAAAGCATAAAGGCAGACTGGGCGGACTGGCTGAACTCCGAAGAAATAGGCCTAAACTAGAATATCTTACAGGCTACTAACGCATTGCTTTTCAAGAGGAAGTTACTGCTGTCCCTGTAATCTTGCCCTTAAGGCTGGGCAGTGGAGTTAATGACTGTTGACTGCAGGCGAAAATTCTGTTTGCTGGGCTTTATGAATTTAATTTAGAACTACTGTTTGGGATTCTCTGTGTGTGTAGACAGTTATGCAGTTCGATGTTGTTGAAGTCACAGAAACCCGTTTTTGGAGAGTGCCAGTACCACTGGTCTGGGACCGCGGGCTAGCTGGCAGCAGAATAGCGACGATCTCCATTGGGGAGCTCTACTGTAGTCCGGGGTGCCGCTGCTTTAGTGGAGAAGCCACGTCACCGCTAGAAACTGCAGCCAGGATGACTAATGTTTGTGTGTAAATCCACTGTCTTGGTTTTTGGTGAAAACACGCCCTCTGTGACTCTTCGTGTGTGCATATAGAGGCGATATGAATCAACTTTTCCGCACTACTCGAGCATTAGTAGGACTAATAACAGAAACTCCAGCACAATATGTTAGCTATGCCCCCTCTCAGCACGGTGCTCTCACGGACAGCTAACGTGGAAGAGGCCATGGGGCACACACATTTAGGCTGCAGTGAGGCTGCTTGAGATGCTCGTTACTCTGTTTGTGTAAAGTAGGCGTGCAAGCTAAGGCTTAAAATGTGGTGAGTCTCTTTCACAATGACAGAGTATGTTTCGACAATACTGGTACTGCTGCCCCCCCTAATACAGACAGGACATTTTTGTGGTACAAGGTACGCATACTGTCAATACGGGCGATGACGAGCTCAGCCTGCGTCCGAAAATTATCCTCGGCTGATCGAGTCACCAGACTTAGCACCACCGACACACACAGGAACAGGGGCGTATCATGATTTGATGTGACCTAAGGTTTAGGCATAGCACGGTTGATGGTGTTTTGGAATGTAATCCACCACTACCTTGAGGCACTCACGGCGGTTTTTTTGCCCGATGTGTCGGATACGAGATTAAGAAAGGGGAAGGTTTTATCGCCTCTGCGAAGATGGTTAGTGCGGTTTTTCACACCGCATGTTCTTCTCCTGTATGTCAGACAGGAAAGCAGCTAAAAATAGATTGTCCTGAACGTTATTGGTTGGAGCAGAATGGCTCAGGGCCTTATCGGAGCAAATCCCTGAGTGTGATCGAGTTGGTAACCCGGCCCATTTCTGGCAATAGAATCGGGCGCTTTATTTGTAGAAGCTGTGTATGAAGTAGAGAACTCTGATTTGCAAATCAGTATGACAACCTTAAAATGCATCAAAATTTTAAAGATGAATCCTAGTGCAGGATTGTAGTAATCATCATGAATCGAGTACTTTTTGCACTTGGTGACTAGTTTTCATTTCTTTTATGAACTGTTATTACTTGTACACGCTTTTGAAATGCAGGGATCCTGGCATGTTTTCGGCTCCATGTTTTGCTTGTTATTGGTGACACACGTGGGGCATTCCCTGGGGACTCAAATGTCAATATACAGCGACTCCCAAGAAACAACACCAGGAACGTTGATCTTGTAAGTCAAAGCGTGAGGAATGTTGGGTGTTACATATTAGATTAATCCATTGTGTTCATGCGGTCAAGTCCCGTAGAATGGATTGGCTCACATGTGCGTGGGACATCATTCAGAGAGAAATTTTGGATGAATGAAGGAGATCAACGCATAGTTGATTCCAAGCAAGGAAACAAAGTCATGCTTCGACAGCTCTGCAATTTTGGCTTTTTACCTTCCACCTGTGGCTCTGTTCTGTGGTCAGGCTCTTTAAATGTCACGAGGTTAAGACAGATAATCAGTGAAAAAATCAGGTTCCTCCTAGTGCTTTTAATGGTATTTGCAAGAATCCACTGAGCCTGAACAAAAAAAACAACCAATCAGAGCTGAGAAAGATAGTTGATGGTTGAGTCTCATTACCAAGTTGTCAAATATCAACACTGGGAATAAGACTCAACAATCAGCTACCTTTAAGCCTCCAACCCATAGCGTCTTTCCAACTTTCTTGGCTTTTACTATTAGTTTTTACTACTGTTACTATACCTGTGAATTAACTTGATTTTCCATTTTGAATTTTGGTGGTAGGGCTACCCTGTAATTAATTTTGGACCATAGATTGTGCCTTTAAAGCACAGCAGCCATTTTGACTTGTCAAACACTAGTTAATAACATTAATAGACCTTTTTCACAACACCCATTTTAACATTAATTAGTAGGGTAAACACAGGTGTTACCACTGATACTAATTAAGGTTCTGTTACATTCACAACCAGTATGTACAGGATGAATAATTACAGGAGGCTGTTTCACAAAAGCAGAATTAAGAAATCCAGGATTAAAACGAGGCCTGTGTGACCTAGCCTATAGTCAGTGCATCCTGGCTTAATAGGTTTCACAAAGGCTAAGCCAGACTGAGGAGATGTAGTTAGTGCAGCCAGGTGAATCTAGGTTTACGTAATTTGGATAAATGCACATTTGCCGGTTTCTTCAACAAGGAAAAAGCACAGATTTCCTGATATAGACCATAAACGTCAATCACAGATTTACTGATCTTGAAATGAAGAAGATCCATTAAATATACTTTATATAATGTAAGCTTAATTAAAGCATTTTATGTATAAAAAAAAAAGCAAACACAGACTGCGGACTGGCTGAACTGAAAAATAGCCTAAAAATAAATATTTAGGCTACTAACCATTTTTCTCAAGGAGTTACTTGTCCTTAATTTCCCTTAAAGTGGGCAGTGGAGGTTAATATGTTACTCAGGAAATTTGTTTGATTGCTTTATGAATTTAATTTAGAACTATGTTTGGATTTCTCTGTGTGTTAAATTAATGACATTGATTTTTGAAGTCACAAAACCTTTTTGAAGTGCCAAGTACACCAACTTGTCTGGACCCGGCTAGCTGCACAGAATAAATCTCCATGGGGACTTACTGTATGTGCCGCTGCTTTAGTGAAACCAAGTCACCGCTAAACTCAGCCAGGATAACTGGAATTCTTGTTTAACTCACTGTCTTTTTTTGGTGAAACAGCCCTCTGTGACTCTCTGTGTACATATAGCATATGAATATTACTACTAGCATTAGTAGGACTATACAAAATCCAGCCAAATGTTAGCTATAGGTCTACAGTTTATAAACATGGGGCATCACACACTTTAGCTCAGTGAGCATCTTATGTCTTACTGTTTTTTAAAGTAGGGCTAACTAACTTTAAAATGTGTATTTTAAATGAAATACTTTTCACAATATGTATTTATACAGAAGACATTTTATGTGTACGTACATTTCAATACGGCAACAGTAGCCTGCTCAAAATATATCCTCATATCCACAGATTTACACGCACACACACACACAGAACAGGGCTATCATTTTGATGTACGTAGTTTCATACAGGTTGATGTGTTTTGATGTAATACATATTACATTACGTGTCCCGATGTGTCGGATACAGATATAACAAGGGAGGTTTTATCGCCTCTGCGAAGATGGTTATGTTTTCACCCATGTTCGTCTCTCTGTATGTCAGCAGGAAACACTGAAAAATAGATTTCCTGAAGTTTGGTGGACAGAATGGCCTCAGGCTTAGGGACAATTGATTTGATCGAGTTGGTAACCCTGGCCATTTCTGCAATGAAATCCGGGCTTTTTTTAGAACTGTGTATGAAGTAGAGACTTATGTATGACAAATGATCAAAATTTTAAAGATGATCTAGTCAGATTGTATAATATCATAAATCAATACTTTTTCACTTGGTAATTTTCTTTCTTTTATGACTGTTATTACTGTACACTTTTAAAATGCAAGGATCTGCCATGTTTGCTCAATGTTTTGCTTGTATTTGACACATGGGGCATTCCCTGGGATCAATGTCAATATACACACTCAAAAACAACAACCAGGAAATGTGTTTGATAAGCAAACTAGAATTTTGTTAATATTAAATTAATCCATTGTGTTCATGGTAATTAAATGATTGGCTCACATGTGCTGGACATCATTCAGAGAAAATTTTGATGAATAAAATCAAACCATGTTGATCCAACAAGAACAAATCATTTCGACATCTGAATTTTGGCTTTTATTCCACCCTGGTGTTGTTTGTGGTACTCTTTAAATGTAATTACACTCAAAAGTTATTCTTTGAATTTACTTAATTAACTAAATTAAAATTTTCTTAATGCTGAAAGAAAGCCATTTGATCTTGTGGAAATACTTAAGTTAATTCAAACAGTTTTCTTTTAGTACAGTTGCTATGTATTCATGTAAAATATCTGTAACTTACCAAATGCTTTGCATTGCCTGGTGTCTTCTGTTAAATGCTGCATGTGAACACTCCGCAAAATCTATATCTGACCGCCAGCAAAATGCTGGAGTGTTTATTGAAAGACTGACAGACTGGAGCATTGCAATATTTTTTTGCAGTCGCAGTCTGTACTGATGCCTTTCTTGTTCCTCACAAAAGCGAGAGACATTTTACTAAACATATAGTGTTTTGAAAGCACCTCTTCATATTTCAAGTATTTCAAAATAAATTCAGTGCTTGGCTCAGTTTCTGAAACTGAAACCATTTTCCCTTTAGACATTGCTGGCACACACCTAATGATCACTTTCGATGTTCAGGTTGGAAAACCTACTGGGAAACTGATATATTTGGTTCTGGTTCTGGTTTAGAATTCTATAGAATTATTTTCTTTTTGGACAAACGTTAGATGATAATATCAATATCACTCTCATGTCTGTATGCAAATATGTTACAGTGAGCTTAGTTTAGCACAAGCTTAAATTAGATTGATAGACATTATATTCATTAGCATTAGTAACACAAACATACTCTTTGTCCCACATTTGGTCTGTTGGGATTTGGCCACCCTACCTGCGTGTGTCTAGACTTTGTACCCAGTGACTGAAGGTTGAGCACATATTGCTGTTGTGCCCTCCTGCTGAATGGTCAGCGACAGCAAATTTGCTGTGTTTTTTCAATTTCACACCAGTTTCTGTGCGGGTAATTTTAGTCACTTTGGACGCTGAGATGGGAATACACTGCAGTACTTCTCCAAAGATATAGACTGTCTGTATGACACCGCCAGGTATGCAAAGAGGCAGCAAACTTAACACCTATCCCTGGTAGTGTCTTACAATCTCTTAAGCAAAAACATAACCCTGACGTAACCCCAGTTTTGTGGGTGGTGGGTCAACTGATCCAAAAACCTGATTAAATGCAAAAATTGTTTTGTGGTCAAAAGTGGTTGTGAAGCAGCTGAGTAATGTGTAATGTTATGAACATTTTATCATATCAGTCCAACCCATAACTCTCCAGCCATGCAGGCCTGGTTCCTGATGCCTCCCTGGATGCCTCATTGGCCTCTCTGCTGTCCTTGAACTCTTCTTGGGCTCTGGAGCAGCAGTACACCACACTGCAGGGCAGTATGACCCGGCAGCAGAGGTCTGCCTTCAACCATGACCTCCAAACTCTCTTCGGAGGAAACACAACGGTCAGATCATACTGGTGTTTGGTGTAACTATCCTTATTGTTTAACCTTAAAGATGGTCTCGGCAAGCAGAAAGACACATTAGACAGGTGTTCGGTACAGGACGTTCAGTTAAGTATGTAACCCTCTCGGTTCGGTATGTCCTGTGACCAGGGGCGTCTGGCCCATACTGGGCGAGTGCACTGCCCTCCTTCAGCCACACGAAAAAAGAGGGGGAAAAAAGAGTTTATTTTGCCGATCTAAGTCTTAATCATAGACTGTATAAAGGTCTTAATATTATTGTCCAATCAGCAGC